TGTGGCGGAGATGTTGGCAGTAGGAGTGGTGGAGGCGGCAGGGGGTAGTGAGGTTAGGGGTGGTCAGGGTGGCGAGGGATGGTGATATTAAATAAATTAGAAGTTAATGTTATTTCTGTCTTTTGAAAACCAAATTATAAAATCTGTTACATTTGCCACAAAGTGTAATTCAACCCTTCGCTTATGCCAAGGGATGATGAAATCCCTCAACCGTGGAATTCAACAGAAGATAACCAATTCATTATGTGAACCAAACATCATCACAGAATTTGGTTAAAGAAATTTGTCATTCCAATTCCATCAAATTTCGCGAACCAAACAGACCTATAGGGGTTGTTTGGTTTGTGGAATTCAACGAAATTTGATGGAATTGAAATGACAATTTCCTTTGACCAAATTCCTTAATGATGTTTGGTTTGCGGAATGAATTGATTGGATTCCATCGAATTCCACGGGTTAAGGGATTTGATCGTTCCTTAACATATGTGAAGGATTTGAATTCCATTTCATGGCAAATGTAAAATAATTTATATTTTTGTTTTAGAATGACAAAAATAACCTTTGCATCTAATTTAACCACACCCTTCCCTGCCTTGCCTCGCCCGCCAGCAACATATCTGCCACCACCAGCCACTGTTGTCGCAATCATCACCACCATCAATTAATATCATTATTCCAGCCACTGTCGTCACCCCACCCACCCACCCACCCACCTCCCCATCCCTATCCCTATCATCACCACCAAGCCCCAAATTTTTTCCTTCATAGTTGCCACCCACCCCACTTACCTACCCCTACTGCCACAACACCACTATTGTCGTCGTTACAACTATCATCCCCATCCCACCACCCCCCAATAGATGCATATTTCTACTCTTTTGAGATATTCTATTCAAATTTCTAACAACCAAATGCATGGTCAAATTACATTCCAATTCATTCAAAGTCATATTCCTTTGATGGATTCAAATTCCACCAAATTTCATTCTGTGAACCAAACGCCCCCTTAGAGTTTGTGCAAAAAGGATTTGTAACCACTAACCCCGAGTTGACCCACATTGCACAAATACACTTCTAGCATGTGTATATATATATAGAGGCATGTTCAATTGAAAACCTTAGTTCCATTATGAACCAGGGAACAAAGGAGATATCAATTCATCATGAATCATGAATGATGTACTATTCATCATGAATAATATATCATTCATCTTAAATAGTTAACGAATGTTCATTATTCATAAAGAATGTAGATAACCAGAGACACTTGTCGCACTCTTCTTTATCCCTTGTTGACATCAGAAAAATCCACAATTCAACTTTCCTCTACAGATATACACCAACCAGATACACTTCTAATATATATATATATATATATGTGTATTTTTATTCAACCATATATTAAATATTTGAACACGAGTTTTTGAAATAAAGATAGATACATGTGCATTTAACCTAATTGTTGGAATGCTTTTGTTTTTCATTGAAGCCTAATTAGGGCAAATCTTGAGTTACAAAATTAAAGAATGAGAGTGGTCATGAGAGGGGTTGGGACAAACAAAGACAACAACATTAATTAAACCCAAATATTAATTCACATTTATTAATATCCAACAAAATTAATCAACGAGTTTAATGCTTCAAAAATTGCATAATCATCATTACAAAAATGCATTTCCTAATTAATCATACTTGACAAAAATAATTTTTTATTCTAAATGCACCCATGAGTTAGGGCTACTATTGAGACAAATGCAACAAATAAACTCACACACCCTCCTCATCTTTGATGAGGTTTGAACCCCTGACCTTCTAAGAAGACAAGGACTACGATACCGCTAGACCAAAGACCTTTAATAAAGTTTGATGTTGATGTCTTCATAGTTACACAAGAATGGTGGTTGTAGGGTGAAATATCGTCCGCCTTCGACACCTTATAGTAAGGAACGTCATGAGGATGCAACACTTTGGTCATGTACACCACGGAAGTGTGGTGGTTGCTAATTTGGTCTGTACAAATCGGTTTTTTTTGTGGTTATGATAGTTGTATGATTTTTTTTGTCTTCAGTACACTTTAGAGAATTTTTATAGTTGTAGATGAGAATTAGTTGGTTTGATGGTATTAGGGCAACTACAGGTCTCTTGTATGTTATCAGACTGTACAAAAGATCTATAGTTGCCCTAATAGATAGGATTATTCACTAAGTCTACTCGAGAAACGGTATCTCGTAAACATTCATACTTATTACTCAATTGTTAACATCATCGACTTCACATATCCGTTTTAAAATTCTTTATATATAATCAACATTGTCAATTTCATGTTTTATTTTACTATACTTCTGCTCGTCATTTGTTCTCATTACGTCGAGTTGTCAACGATATTCTAATTTCAATACATAAAAATCCCGATTATACAGAAAGAAAAAAAAACTTTCGTTATGTTATTCAATAGTTTTAAAAAAGGAATAAATGTATTTTTTTTAAACGAAAAAACGTACGATTTCGAAAGAATAAAATAAATAATACATAAATAAATCATGTCATGCACGTTTGTAGATTCTCATTTATAGAGTGAATGAAACAAACCTTATGATATTACTTGAATAAATGACTTGAAATAATATGAATATAAGCAAGCAATATAGCATGGTGGGATCATAGGCATATGACTTAAAGATAATATAAAAACAAATTAATTTTTATTTTAATTATATTTTCTTGTCATTTACCATGTTTTTTTATTATATAAAAAAACAATTATTGAACCATAAGAGTGGTGCCTGATTGGTTTGAACTTGGCTCCAAAGATCAAAAGTATCAGGAAGTCTCAGATTCAAATCCAAGTAGGAATAAAAATCCTCCTGTGGCGACGGAGGTTCAAATGCGGTGGGCCATCTACAAAGCAGGTGGTCACCATGAGATTAGTCGGCTCGTATAGCGGGTTGAATATCCAGGTTAATCAAAAAAAAATTATTGGATTTACGTCAAGAGTTGTTATGTTCAAATGAGAATAATGTCAAAATAATAGAAAACGAGAACGACCAGATGATATATGATTTTACATTGAAATCGCATGTGATTACGATACATTTTGATGTGACCTAGATCGTTGGTCAAGTCGGCTGCCCACCCTTGTCGTGTTCCAAAACTGAATATGATTACAGTGTAAAATCATATGTAATTTGACTGTTCTCGTATCATTATATTTTCATTGTACTGTAGTTTAAACCTTTAAGGTCGATAACTTTCAACTTTATGTTTATTTCCCATTTGAAAATAAGGCCTATGAAATAGAATTATGCAAACCTTATACTCATCTGGAAAAAAAGAAACTGTTTTCGAAAAGATTCCTTACATTATTAAAGCATCCGATAATTGAATATCGAGATTTGTAACTCTCCAAGATAATGGTAATAAAACCACCTTATTTGTTAAGATCCTTGTTGTTTATTGATGTTTAAGGTGTCGTTTACACGATGCAAATGATTAGAAGCAAGACGTCTCTACGCACAAGCCTCCAGCAAACAATTTTGAGAGCAGACTACATTGGTATATACGTATTTTACAGTACTATATGAAAAATACTTATTTACACTTTTCATCTTTAATGAGGTTTGAAGCCCTAATCTTCTAGAAGGTTACGCTCTACGGGTAAACTATCACTAGACCAATGATTCTTTGGTCACGTATAAGGAATCCATGATACGTAATTCCACAACTGGTAGAGATAAGTTGGAGGGATATAAAGTATCTTTTACCAACCGCATATCGTCAAAAGTCATCATCCGCACTTACCTTATCGACTTACATGCTCGGCCATCAAAACAGATTCTTCGTAAACGTCTCTTACTCGGTAAGCATTAACCGGGCATGAGTCTTCCCCCTCAGTTACCGAGTAAGATTCTCAGTTCTTGTTATGTCTCTTACCAAGTAAGATTCTCGGTTCTTGTCATGTTCATCCAATAAAATTAGTAACATTTTACCTAAGAAGTGTTTGATAAACACCTCTAAATGATAAAAGCCTCCTAAACTATTAAGTACTTATGCATGATGTTTTGGACACGTGTTTGAATCTTAAACCTTTTATAAATTGTTTATAGTTGTGAGGGATGTTAGGTAAATATGATTAGTTAGGGGGAAAGAACAAATTGTAGAGTTTGAACATGGCTTAAAGGGCTGAACAAGTAAGCAACCAAAACATGGCTTGTTTTGGCACCATAAGCTCGTGTGCGCGCCACTATGGCACCTTACGACGCACACTACAGCATAATTGGTAATCGAGGACGTCCACAACTGTCTTAATAGAGTACTTAATGATACTTTTAAGTCCACATGACTAATAACCATACATCTCGGTCCAGTTCAGAGGAAAACTGCAGAATAATGAAAAATTTCATATGTAAGACATGCACATGTACATACAAGTAATTACACACGTGCATAGATCTAAGGAACATATTCAATGACTTGTATATACATGTGCATACCATACAGATAAATGGTTATCATGATGCTTCTTAACACTCACACTCTCTCTCTCACGTACTCTCTTTCTATACATATATAACGATAAGTTGTTATAACAAAACTGGACAACCTAACAAATTAAATGAACCCAGGCTTAAAATCTCTTATATTCGAAGGAAAAAGCGCCTTCGGAGCACTTTTAAATGAACAATGGCCTATCTATGCCTGAAATCAACGACCAAAAGCTCAATGTATCAAATAATAATCGTTTTAATACGTATGATGCCGATTTATGTCGCATTGGCCTACTTATATGCACTTTATCATAAAAAATATGTGAATTTTATTAGACATAGCTTTTTTGGCTAAAATGAAGAAACACCATCAGCTTATCACAGAACTTCTTGGAATGGCAAGCCAAGATGGGTGCTTTTTGGAGTAGCACACACTTCATCACTATATATACATGGCCAACACTAATTTCAGAAAACCCATCTTCGAATCACGTTGTGTTTTTGGAAACTAGCACCATGAGACTTTGTACCAAATGGATCCAGCCATTCTCACCCACGGCTAACCCGCCGTTGGAGCCGGCATGTCGGTGGCGTTGTGCCGTTTCAATGAAGACGGCTCAGCAAACTCGTGGAACTCGGGCTTCGAGTAAATGGGAAAGATTGGTTATTGATTCGGGAGAGGGTTGTCAGCCACGGTCGTTAAGTCAGCTCGATAAACGATGGATGGAGTATCACGGGTCGAAGAACTGGGAAGGCTTATTGGATCCGCTTGACGATGGTTTACGTGGTGAGATTATTCGGTACGGGAGCTTTGTTGAGGCGGCATACCAATGCTTCGACTCTGACCCTTCGTCACCGAGTTACGGTACATGTCGGTATACGAAAAACTCGAGTTTGGAACGAGCCGGTGTCCATGGAAGCGGGTACCGTGTGACGAAAAACTTACACGCCACGTCATCGATTCCAATGCCACATTGGACGGGTCAAATCGGGGTGCGGTCCAGTTGGATCGGATTCGTGGCGGTCTGCGAGGACCAGAATGAGATTTCTAGACTCGGCAGACGAGACGTAGTGATCTCATTGCGTGGGACCGGAACTTGTTTAGAGTGGCTCGAGAATCTACGAGCCACTCTAACTCGTTGCCCGTTCGGCAATGAGAACAACATGAAAGGACAAAATGACGAACCGATGGTGGAAAGCGGAGTTTTAAGTCTCTATACCTCAAGCACGTCGGTATGCCCAAGCTTACAACAATCAATAGCGGACGAAATTTTAAGAATAGTTCAAAAGTACAGCAATGAGCCACTAAGTGTCACCATCACCGGCCATTCTTTAGGAGCTTCGTTAGCTATTCTAGCCGCCTACGATATTAAAACTACCATCAAACACGCTTTACATCTCTCAGTTATCTCGTTCGGTGGGCCCAGGGTTGGCAACCGGAGTTTCCGACACAACCTAGAACTACAAGGAACAAAGATTCTACGTATAGTGAATTCAGATGACCTAATAACGAAAGTACCTGGTTTTTTCGTCGAGGACCATGATGACATGGCGCAAGAACAGAAAGCTCGTGGGCCCCATCTACATCGTTGGATACGGAAACATGTCAACGACAACCAATGGGTGTATGCTAACATAGGACACGAGCTACGACTCAGTAGTCGAGCCTCGTTACAGTTAAATAGTATCAACGTGGCCACATGCCATGATTTAAAGACATATCTACATCTAGTAAATGGATTTGTGAGCTCAACTTGTCCATTTAGGGCAAGTGCAAGAATGATGCTCAATAAAGCTACTGCTATTCCACCCACACAATAACTTTAATTTTTCTTTTCGAAATTAAAATTGGGATTACAACATTGACCTTGCATATGTTCTACTCACTTTAGGTGCTGATTTTTATGTATGGAGTTAGGAGTCGTTAATGTATAAATTTTAATTAACAATCAATTAACTCATTGATTTAATCGACCGCTATTACATATCGCTCCAATATGTTAGACAAATAATCAAACATAAGGCTACCCATGGTCGTTCATAACGGCATTCATGGTGCGTTTGGTACGCAGAGGGGACTTGATGAGACAAGCAAGAGTGAGGTAGGTGTGAAAAAATTGTGGAAGATTTTAAGATATTAATTTAACATGAGTAATTTATTAATTTACCAATCTTGTCATATCTTCCTAATTTATGTTCCACCTATTTGATGGACGGCAAAACGCATTCTTGTCCCACTCAGGGCAGTCTAATGTCGCGCCAAATGTGAGATAAGTTTTTGTACTGCCATATTATGTTGTGTCTCGCATACCAAATCCACCTTCACACTTCACAGTGTGTTCTCGAGGCCTTTTTTACGAAGGTAAGGGAGGGAAAGAAAAGGAAAGGAGGGTGGAAAGAAAAAAATCTTGTGTTCTTGAGTTTTTCAGGAGGGAAAGGAAACAAAGGTTGATTTTCCTCCCAAATATAGGAGTAAAAGGATGGAAACAAGAGACATAATAACGAGAAATATTTATAAAATTATACATCTACCCATCAATTACAATCCACAGGGAAATAAATACGGATTATTTGTAAAATTGACATAATTCCTTTCCTTTTTCTCCTGCTCAAGAACGAACTTTTATTTTCCTTCTCTTCGCTCTCAATAACATAAAATTAAAAAAGTTCTTTCTTTTCTTTTCTTCTTAAACTCGAGAACACACCGTCAAAAATCACGAAACTAAAACCTTCAAATGTTCAAGATCTTAAAGTTTGGCCCAAACCAAGAACATGCATGTCGGTAATTCAAGAAAAGCTTTAATTTACATTAACCCAAACAATTGAGATTTTATTAGTATGGTGATATGCATATCAATAGGACAAAACGAATTTCAAGAACAAAAACTAATATCTACCTCAAATAATCGACGTTTAGGTTTTCTTCGGAAGACAGAGGGTGGAAGGCTACCCTTTATATCATCACTGCCTTTTACCGGTCATACCTGCAACCACCTGCAATAATTTGTCAACTATCGATTAAATTGAAGTTAAAGAAGAAACTGAGTCGTTATAGATTGCACAGATGTGAATAGGGATGCTGTAGGATACACAGTTGATTAATTGTGTGCAGCATGTGTACAACATGATTTGTTTTTCTTTTTTCTTATCCGGGAGGTTTGGCCAATTCTTGTAGTTTTAAGATTCTCAGGATTTCCATTACTTCAATTCAGAGCTGCAATTACTTGGACATCTTATGTGAGTGGTTTGAGGAACACAAAATATTTATATCTCGATCGAGGCGGCCAAATTATTAGAGTTTTCTAACTTCTCCCCACTCTACTCTGTTTAGTCCTTGTTGTCTCCTCTTTTGCTTCTGTTGTATGCCTCATCTGTGTCTTGTTTCTTGTTAGATCTTTCTCAATATTATTTGTAAAATTATTTGACACACACACACATGTTTTTGTATGTATGCATGCATGTGTGTATTACACACACACATATAAATTCATGAGTGTGTTTATGCCACACCGAGATTCTAGTATTTCTGAAAAGGGTCACCTAACCATTCCCATTCTTCCTAGGGGATAATGTACAGCAAAAACAAGCAAACAACTCAACAGGGACACGCTTTATGTAAACATTGTCAACGACATAACCAATATGCATGTAGTACTCACATTGTTTAAATCAGGTTGACGAACTTGCTTGGATGATTCAAATGAGTCCAGCATAGGCTTCACCACGGCAGGAAGGAATAGGCCTGAAATTTCACTATAACAATTAGGTACAGAAAATGCATTTTAAAAAAAGGTACCTAGATGCACTTGAAAAAGGTTGAGCAAAAGTCCCAGAGGAACATCCATGTTCCATGCTAAAACACAGCATTGAAACATGGGATCAACAAAACACGGATATGAATCAGCAGTAATCAGTGTTGCAAAAAAAATATTTTGCAAAAGAGCTAATGGAGATCAAGATACAATGCACAGGCCCATAGCACATGAACAGAGATGCTAGAAAATATGCTCTAGAATCTAGATGATGAGTAAAAACAAGCCTATAATTATAACTGTCCGTTTTTTCCCTTGAGCCCTTGCTTAGTGGTGTTTAATCAGCCACCCAAACAGCAAAGCTTTGATAATATTGCATGCAAAGATAACCGAAGCTCTGAAACAACATTTCATCTTTTTTTTTCTTTTTGTAACTGTGGGTGTTTAGACCAACTTACACCCACTTCAAGCCGGAATGACCTATTTGCTTTACTCTTCAATATTAGAAATTATTTGTATTACTGATTTTGCTCCACATAATTTACGTTAATTTGAAAACAAAGATTTTTTTTATAATACGCTTGCCTTCTTTAGTCATGATTGAAGGGTGTTTTAAGCATTTGACAAGCTGTTGCTTTATTATCAATTGTGTAAAACTAATTGCTGCAATATATAGTCAGAGGTAGTTCCCCTTTACATAATACTAAAATGTCCCTTCTTTCTTCATATAAGCCTTCTCTTCCTACAAGACTTGATTGGAAAAGAATCATTAAAATGTTGAAAGACATGCATGTGCAGAAAGCAAACTAAGAAAATAAGTAAAGTCAGACTGACATTGAACAAATATAATTAAGATACTGAATTCAGATAAACAGTTACAAAACCTGCTGAGTTACATTGATAGGCTTACAATGAAGGCCCTTTTAAAAATGACATCCCCCAACTAGAACATTCAAATTTCGTACAACCGCGGGATGTAAAATACAATGAAGATTTACTTTACTCCCTTTTGGGTGGGTATGAGGGGTGTTGAGATGTAAAGTATAATCAAAGCAAAGCAGAACAAACTCTAAAGATGGCAGTCTCACTTCAAAAAAAAGGTAACGTCGGCCCACAACCAACCGAAAGGAATAGGCAAAAATGCCATCTTATGAAAGAAAAATGCTACTGCCTTTACAATCTAGCTAGATCATCCTTGTATTGAAGCATAACCTCTAACAGACGTGCCTAGTTTACAACATTTACACGGTAAATCAGAAAGTTGATGAGTATTGACTGTAGTCCATAAAGGTTTGGACCTCCAACTCTAAAGTCCAAGTTTAATATTACTCAAATCCATACTTTTGCTTCAATGAATGCCACGCCTTGTGCCTCATGCCTCATCTAAAGGACCTCTCGGTAAAGGTGATGCCCTGAAGTTGTGATTTGTTCCTAGGTTTGAGGGATGCTGCATGAAGGCTGGTAAGGCTCTCCATCACTTACCCATCTATTGCTACCTGCTAATACACCCACTCCATGATGATATTAAGTTTCATAACAGCAACATCCCAGCAATTCGTTGCTTGGTGCAACAGCAGCCCCCACACTATTGCTTCCGAAGAGGTCCCCATAGGCCATAGGAACCATGCTGAAGAAAGAAAGTAGAGGATGGGCAGTCAAATCTCAACGAAAGCACACTTGATTCTATTGAGAATCCTACCCACTCTAATCCTCTCCCCTGTAGTACCAAAATTCAGAGAATGCTACGCCCATTGTACCCCTACACCGTGCACAGGACGCTCAAAAACAACATTCTTCAGGCAGCTTGCTTTCTCCCAGCTTTCTCTAAATATAAACAAGAACCTTTTCAACATAAAACATTTCGAGTGCCTTGATGGCTTGTTTGTATGGTTGGGACCAAGAGGTCCTAAGTTGAAATGTCACACCTGTGCGATACACCATGGGCACAAAATTTTCACCCATTGGTGTGGTCTCACTGTCATCTAAAAAAGAAAAACCTAATAACCTCGGTGTCTAATTCAAATCTGAACGTGCGATGTTCTAATTTCCAAAATCATGCTTGAAATTTACTTTTTAAGGAGGGGGTATTAACCAACAAAACTATATTTCTAAATCATGCTTCCAAATTTTCATAGAACAACAAGTTTACCGGATCAATATCAGACCATAGCATCAACATAATGGAAGATCAATCATGCATCATAATGTATCAGGAGAATTACATCAAATTTAGATTGATTGAGGAAAGCGCGCAAATTAGGGTTCACGAAAAAGAGAAAGAAAGGTACCAACACCACCGATGAGGCATGAAGCAGCAACAATGGGTTCTTGAACAGCGAACATCTTTAGCTTCTCCATCACCGCCATTTCGCTCCCTTCTCGTTGATCTCTCTCTCTCTCTCTCTCTCTCTCTCCCCCCTGCGTGTGTTGGTGGCAGGATAGTTTCTTGTTGGCATCAACCTCAAAAGATCTTCCCTGGTTTTTGGTGGAATTTTTCATAGCATGCAGCATTTTAACTAAACTACATTTTTGGTCCCTGTAGTATTCAAGACTTACGTATTTTGTCCTTATGGTTTGCAAATCCTTACAAATTTGGTCCTTCATACTGACCACAAGTGCCCATCATAGGCTAGTCACACCATATGAGGGCATTTTAGTCTTTTTGTCTTTTCTTGTGTATTTTTTAGAGGTTGTATGGTTAGGAAATGAAAAGTGAGAATGAAAATGAAAATAACTTTTCATTTCTCACGGGTTAACTTGAAATAAATATTTGGTGTTCTGGAGGAATAGATCTATTATATTATATAAAAACAAACAGTTTTTTTTATTATCATTCTTATTGATTACTGTTTAATACCTCTAACCAAACATTCTTTTAAATATAAAAGTATGTAATATATATGTACAAGCATTAAAGAAAAAAGACCACTATCCCCCTCTTTTTTTCAATCAACTTCCTTCGGTAGAACTTCTCGATCACCATCTCCGTAACTGCTAATCTCTGGTGGGACCCAATTCCACCTCTCACTTTCACTCTTTACGGGGAAGGCGGTTAGGGTTTTGAATTTCATCGGTGAGTCTCGGTTCATTGTTCCTAACCGAAAGTTTTTTTTTTAGTTTGATTTTGGTGTTCTTGTTAAATAATTGGTTTTCCTCGTTCTTGTATTTTGACTTGTTTGTTCGTGATGCTATGTGGTTGGTTAATTGAAATTTATCGTATCAACTGTATTAAAACAACCTAAATAAGGATTTGTAACCAAGACCGCCATTAATGAAGCTTGAGTCTTATATTTCACATATTTGACTTTTCTTAACGAAACTAGTTCCTATTACAAATTCCACTGCAGGCTTAACTACAAAAATCAAAGTTTAAATAGACATTACTTGAAATTTTGATAATTGACTAAAGAAAACCTATAACTTGATTGATGAATCCATTAGGGTGCGTTTGGTACGTTGGACAGGGTGGGACAGGACAGGACAGAACACAATTGTCCTATGTTTGGTGTGGTTTTATGTGGGACTAACTAGAACAAACTAGAACAAGGGTGGGACAAGGTTGTCCACCCTTTACCCATGGAACTAAGTAGAACAAGAAACTTTTTACCACTTTACCCTC